GGGTAATATATGCTATAGAAAATGTCTTTTACAGGTCTCTTTGGTTACGTTATCATTTATCACCCTTTTGTTTATTGTCATAGGCGGCCAGGAGGAGATAGGATATATAATGTCTTTGACAATCAGCTTCCTGCTGCTTTACGGAAGCTTCCATTTGACCGACATCTTTCTCTTCAAAATGTAAGGAAAGTGGTATCAGAGGCAGATGGTTACCAGCCTCACTTAATTGCGCCAGAGCAAGGTTACCGGCGCCTGATTGAGGGAGCTCTCAGCTACTTTAGGGGTCCAGCTGAAGCTTCAGTTGATGCAGTAAGTATGACTTGCTGCACTCCTTTTTTGTTTTTTTAAGTTGACATCAAGAGTTAAAGCTCGATTCCTGTGATTTGAATGTAGGTCCACTTTGTCTTAAAAGAACTTGTGAGGAAATCAATAGCTGAAACTCAGGTAGAGTTTGGGGATTTATTTTATAGCAACTCTGTTCATGAAGTCATACTAGAATAGTCAATAACTAATAAGCTATGAATTTGTGGCTGAATAGGAACTAAGACGTTTCCCAACTCTTCAAGCCGAAATATCTGCAGCTACAAATGAGGCTTTAGAGAGGTTCCGTGAAGAGAGTAAGAAGACAGCTATTCGACTTGTGGACATGGAAGCTTCATATCTCACTGTGGAATTCTTTCGGAGACTTCCTCAAGAAATGGAGAAAGCTGGAAATCCAGCTAATCAAGCTACCCCAAATATCGATCGATATGGAGAAGGGCATTACAGAAGGATTGGATCAAATGTATCTTCCTATATCGGTATGGTGTCAGACACTCTCAGGAACACTATTCCAAAGGCCGTGGTTTTTTGTCAGGTCAGAGAAGCAAAAATGTCATTGCTAAACCATTTCTACACACAAATTGGGAAGAAAGAGGTACTTTCTCGCTCTCGCTTTCAGATAAAACGCATTCCTATCTTAGCAATTACAATTTCAACTTTATCTTTAACTTCTACCATTTTTGGTAACAAAAAGATTATACTTCTTTTGGGCGATGATGGAATACTCTTGGAATCAATCTAATAAATAAAATACAATTTAGTCTTTTTTCTACATGATGCAAATTAAATGTCTTTGCTATTAAGGAAAATTTTTCCCTTGAATTTGCGTTTGATATACTGATATACCTCCAAAGGGATATCTTAAGGTGTTTGTGTATAATTCTTATTTATACAAACTATAATAAATTCATCAAAAAAATATAAACTATAATAAATAAATAGAATTTTTTTTTGGATCAATTGAAAATACAATAATGACACAAAGATTTAAATCAATGACGAATCCAAAAATTTTATATTATGAGAACAACTCACAATCAAATGTATAAATTTGTAATGTTAAAAAGTAATAATCCTTTTTATTATAACCATATATTATCACGTTTTCTCAATTATTTTTCTTAATTTTTTAATTATGTTATTTCTTATATGATAATTTATTTATTTATTATTCATTATTTGTTACATCTCATTATTTTTGTTATGAAACAATTTTTTATTTTTATATCATGTTATTAGTATGAAATATTCAGTAATTTTGTCGATGATTAATCTCTGTCAGAAAATTCACCTTTAGTATGAAGCTTCTCCCTATCATGTTTCTTCCATCTATAAAACTTGAACCTATAACGTTGCTTAATGAATTGAATTCAGTATTGCTCAAAATAACAACTTATTGGTATGCAACAGTTTATTTAACAATTATTTTTAACTAAAATATAAAATAGTAACAAAAACAAATACAACACGCCATATTATAAGGATTTGAAAAAATTAAAATAAAAAAACAAAAACAAAAAACTCAAAGCCACCTTTTTTACTGAACTAAATTATGTTATTTTTAGGGATGGCAACGGGACGGGGTGGGTACGAGTTTCATGATACCCGTCCCCGTCCTCGCAAGTCAAACTTATCCCCGTACCCGTACCCGTCGGGTATATGATTTCCATCCTCATCCCCGTCCCCATCAGGTATCGGGTATACCCGTACTTGTCAATTTTTTTATTTTATTTTTTATAAAAAAATATGATATTTTTTATTTTTTTAATTATATTATAATTATAATTAGCTTATTTCTTTATCTCATATTATAATAAATAATCACACATAAAAAAATTAAAATTCTTTAATATAATTAAATTAAAAGTGGATATTAAATTAAAAATGGAAACGGGGGCGGGTACGAGTACGGGGCGGGTAAGTACATACCCGTACCCGTACCCAATTTAATATATCAGGTTTTACCCGTACCTGTACCCGGTCAAACTAGGTATTTCTCGTCAAAGTCGGGACGGGTTCGGGTATTACCCGAGGGTAGGGGTATATTTGTCATCCCTAGTTATTTTTAATTATTAAAAAAATAAAGCAATGGGGCTTTCATTAAAAAAATGCAGTATATTATAATAGGAAATTTAAAAATAATTTTGACCAAAAAAAGTGAAGGAAATTATTTATTAGAATAAAAAGTGACTAAAAACGCTAATATACAGTATATGAGATATAGTGAGTAGGGATGGCATCGAGGCGGGGCGGGTACGGGTTTCATGATACCCGTCCCTGTCCCCGCGAGCCCAACTCATCCTCGTCCCCGTACCCGTCCCCTCGGTATGTGATTTTCATCCCCATCCCCGTCCCCGTCGGGTATCGGGTATACCCGTATCTGTACCCGTTTCCGTCAATTTTTTTTTTTTTTTAAAATATAATATTTTTAAATTATTTTTTTAATTATATTATAATTATAATTAGGTTATTTCTTTATCTCATATTATAATAAATAATCACACATAAAAAAATATTAAAATTCTTTAATATAATTAAATTGAAAGTGGTTATTAAATTAAAAATGGGAACGGGGACGGGTACGGGTACGGGTACGGGGCGGGTAGGTACATACCTGTACCCGTACCTGTACCCGATTTAATATATCGGGTTTTACCCGTACCCGTACCCATACCCGGTCAAACCGGGTATTTTCCGTCAAAGTCGGGACGGGTTCGGGTATTACCCGCGGGTACGGGTATATTTGCCATCCCTAATAGTGAGGGCAATTAAAATATAATAATTCATGTAATAAAAAATAAGTGGAAAATCTTAGTGGAGGCATTTGCCCCCATTGTAAGTCTGCAAACTACTTCATCCTCCTACCTCTAGCTTGACCTAGTGGCTCCATAGAATTTATTTGGATCAATAGCCAAAATATTTGCATAAAGATGTGATTAAAGTACATTTTATGGAGGTATACTTGATTTGAACTCTATAACCTCGGGAGCTTTGCCCTTCACCCTAAGCAAGTGCGTATCTATGAAAACATATGGAATGTATTTTATGTATTCGTGTATATTTCATTTTGTATAATACCCGTTTAGATTTTATCTACTTTTTAATGGTGGTGCAGGCTAAACAACTATCACAGTTGTTAGATGAAGACCCTGCCTTGATGGAGAGGAGGCAACAATGTGCTAAAAGGCTTGAACTATATAAAGCAGCTAGGGATGAAATTGATTCTGTTTCTTGGGGACGATGAGCTTATTTGTCATTGGACTTTCTTCGATGCCTTGTATTATACATATATATAGCTGTTAGCGATTGATTCTAGGTTGGCTAGACCCAGATATCATTTTTACAGTCTATTATTTTATTCTTCACACTTTTATATTCGTTCACAAAAAAAAAAAAAAAAAAGTCATTTTATATTCCTCTCTGTATCGTAGGATGGCGATGGAGCTAATTATTGTTTCTTGTCGATGAGTTGTACACCATAGATACCACATAATGTATTGTTTTATTCAAAATTAAAATACAGTTTTTTTATATATTTTTTTTAATATTAATGATTATGAATGGCAACTTGATTGAACGAACTCTTCTACGTCACATAAGCGTAGAAATAGGTCAGGTCATCCGTTCGGGAATCCAGTTAAGTTCGGGCCTTGCTATCTGCATCCCATTCCTTTTTTCTTATTGTGGAATAAAAACTAAGAACTTTTGAGATAGGAGCTTTCATGCTTATTTTTTCAAACTGCCTAAATACTGAGAATGTATTGTGATTTGACCTAATCTTTTATGTCAATGTTCTTGTGTAATTTTGCAAATCATAATATCTTTGTATAATTTAATTTTATATTTTGATATCTGAGAAGGATTACAAAATAAGACCAATATCTAATATTAACTTACTATAGTCATGCATAATTTGTCTTACTTTATGAAGAGAGTCTATAAAACAAACAATAAATTGTCAAGTGTATTAATGAGAACATATTCAATTAACATTATTTGCTTTCCCTTTAAGTTATCAACCATGTTTAAGTTTTTGAATACCGATCAATTTAGAGGACTTTGAAAAATTCAGTCCCGTCCAAAATATGAAGTGCGTGGTATCGATTGTTTAATTTAAGCCCAAGTAAACATCAAGGTGCCCCTGTTTCTCAGTTGACAAGATAGTCTTTAAATCTTGATTGACTTTTTTCATGAATAGTGAAGCAGCATACGCATATCTGTTAATTTTTGTATTTTATAAATCAGATTTTTAAAACTGTTTTAATTTTGATTGTCAAGAAAGAAAAAAAAACTGTTTTAATTTTTTCATGACAAGTGTTAGTGAACATGTTCAATTAAGGTTAAATTTAATGTTTTTGGGGCCAATGATGTTTGATCTCCATTAAAGTGTTGGACGACCAATTTAGAAGACTTTTAAAATTTCGAAGTCTCGTTGAAAATTACAAGTTCACGGCAACGGCCTAAAATCAATGTAACTTTAAAGTGGCCAACGTTTTCCCTTTAAAATTAATTAAATACTTCACTTGTAATACTGCAGTCTTCGTGTCTGAATTGTGGTTCATATCCCATGAATATTGAATAAATAGTGTATATAATATATTATTTTGAATATTATAAACCAGAATTTTAAGACCGCTTTAATTTATTTGACTATTTATGCCGTCTTCTGAAAGTGCAGCTAAAATATAAACGGGATAAGTGAACATTATGGTAGAAAGAATCCCACACAAAGTCCTTTATTACAAGAAGAAGAAAAAAAAATGAATGAGTCAACAAGATATAACAATAGAATACAGAGGTAACGGCCTCCGATACAAACTACAATTTTCTATATTTAGCATCAAAATGTGAGACGATAGAACAAGCAGCGAATACTAATATGACCTGAAAAACAATGGACAACAAATCAGCATCCTGCACCCACACATATATAACAATAAATTGAAATTCATGAGGTTGAGCGAAGTAAATGATGCAAATATGGAAAAACCTATTTATAAACTCCATTCAACGGATGAAACAAGTAATAAAGCACATATCCTTTTTCCTACTGCGAAATAATCACATTAACAAAGATTTTTTTACATGGAAAATCTAAATTCAATAGGAAGAGGCAAAATAGACAATCATTTAAAATGTGTCCATGCTGTTTTATAGATCAAGTAACTTATAAAATAATTAGCCACAAACATGATGCATCCTAAATATTAATAAAACTGCAGTCTATAACTTACATGATTCAATTTCTTCAACAAAAAAAAAAAAAAAAACCTGAATCAATGACGAGAGAATATTCTTTGCTTTTCAGCACTAACTGTACGGCATCTAGAATTTCTAGAAGTATTACAATCATAATAATAGATGGTTGAGCGTGTTATCGTCCAGAATAAGTGCCTAGACATAGATTCGAAAACTAACTCAAAGTAGAATAGATGCATTACCACTTGGAAGGATATCTAGCTTGCATAAAATTTTTAAAATGATAAACCTCTAGAAGAAAAATATACGATATATGTTCTGTGCTTTAAAAAAACTTCTATTCTTCAATTACCCTACTCGGTAAATTTTCAAGACCAATTATCAATTAAAAAAAGTTTCAAGAATAAACGGTACAGTAGAATCATCATACAAAAATATAAAATGTATGGCATCTTTTACTATTCATGATGCAATTTTTACCTCTAAAATATCACCATGGAATCAAGGAGAACGTGCTCAATCAGCCTGCGCAAATGCAACCACAGATGAACATGAATTCCTTAAAAAGTTTGCAGTTTGAACGGCATTATCACAGAATTATGTTTGATAAAAAATAATCATTTGTCTGTTGTGAAAACTCAATCATTTATAATTTTAATGTGCTCTTTATACTTCTTACGATGTTTTCATACGTCTCCTAACTGAAAAAACAGTCTTTGCATCGATACATCCATGCAAAGAGTACCGTAGAACAGAAGGATGGCATGATAAGTAGATTTTTATTTGAATAGGCGTTGCAATTTAAGCAAGTCCCATAAAATTTTCTTAGCGTACACTTTCCTTATGAAACCAGTATGTAGTCTCGCTTCAATAAGTTTGCTCTTCTCAATATTAACTTATGCACCAACTAGGCCTCATACAATTGTTACAACAGTTGATTCAACGAAAAGTTGTTTAATCAGAAAAGTATACTGCACTTGAGGGTTAAGGATGTTTGAGGGCTTAGCCTTCATACAAATTTCTTAACGTACAAAGGCAGTTTTGCGATTCATGAATGTTCTAATATAACTATTATTTTTTCCTTTTATCTCGTCTCAAAACTCAAAAGCATAGTCTGTGAGAGCCAGCAATTGATTCTCTATTAAATGTTTTCATGAAAGGGCTATGATGAACGTACAATGGCAGTATTCATATTCGAGTACTTGTGAGTTGAGAGTTATATCTCTTTAAATAGCACACATCTTTACATAATATTTTCTTCTCTATGAACGTTAACATTCCTATCTATCTTTTTTTCCATTTACCTATTTTTTTTTTTTCAAAAATAAATATGAATCCTACCCATAATGTATGTTAAAACAAATAAATATTGATAAAGCATAAAAAAGTTCATTTTAAATATTTATTATTTTACAACATGTGCATATGCAAAATGATCATAATGTATAAAAAAATCAAATTTCTTTAAATACCCATGGCAAGGCATGAGTTATTCATTAGTTAAATTGTAGTATACAACATACTGTTATATCGAGACAAATACCTTGTTGATTAACAATGAAGACAGTGATTTCCAATTTTTGTCTTTGATACATAATGGAACTTGTACATATAAAGTTTTGACATAAGGCGAACATAGTAATTTACCTTCTCATTCTTTGGAGCAAAAATTCCTTTGACGGACTCAAATACCTCTTCAATTGGCCTTGCAGCATCAATCTAATAAAAAAAAAATTATGCGCTGTCCTTAGAACCACCAGAGACAACCATGTAACCCGAAAAATATGGTAAAAGCATAACTATCAATTACCTTGCGAACTTTTCCCTTGGCATCATAATAATTAATCACAGGGAGACTCGACTCCAAGAAAACCTTAAACCGCTTCCTTATTGTTTCAATATTGTCATCTTCTCTACCCTTTTATAATTGAAAAATAAGTCGTAAGTGCTGACACACACAAGGAAAACAAGTATTATTTTTAAAAACCAAAAAATAAACCTCAACCTGATTCCTACTAAGCAGTCGCCTCTCCATCTCTTCCTCAGGGCAATCAAAAAATAGGACAAATGTTGGCTCTATTCCTGTCTGCATAGCAATAATGCATTTTAGAAATCAAGGTTGGTACAATTATCTATACTGGAATAATTAGAATTGGAAGTGTTATTATAGTACTATCAATTACCACTTTCTCAAATGCTGCACGGTTTTCCTCATTGCGAGGAAAACCATCAATAAGAAATTTGTCGTTGCCAATTTCCTCCATTGCTCTTTGTAAGAGCTTAATTGTTACCTCAGAGGGAACAATTTTTCCTTCCTTAATCATATTCTGTATCATTGTACTGCCCAACATAAGAAATAAGAAATAAATGTGTTAATGCTAAATGAAACGGACAATTTAAGCCCAATACAAGATGGTAGACTAACAATAATGCTCGCTGCTCAGAAGTTGGAAAGGAATAAATAAACAGTATAAGGAAATACATATAATTTCTATTGAATGCAACCAGAATTTGGTAAGCAATGTGAGAGAAAACAGTCAAAAGATATTTCCCAAAAGATCAACATGAGTAGATGATCTAGCATCAATATTCTATGATAATCTGTATCTTTATTGACTAAAAAGGGAAACCAGAGGGTCATACATTTTGATAATATACAGATTAAACATTACTCATGGTATACATTTTGATAATATACAGATTAAACATTACTCACCCACAACTCTGGGCAAGTTGCCATTTTGACCCATGGTATAGTTCACATTGCCACCATAACTTATTTGCTAGAAAATACAAGAAATTAATCCTTTCAAATTTATGAAAAATATTAAACCTAGACTGGGAAAGACATGTTCATACCATGGAAATTATGCTGAAATTTCTCATTATTAGTGTGCTATTTCATTTCTCATGAGGATTATCTAGAGAAGTGGGCGTTACAAATTTACAATCATACATGTATGGTAACCAATAGGTTTTTGCTGTAAAAGTATAATCTTCTGTAAGAAAAAAATGAAAGTTCACTACCTATTGAACAACTAGTCACTTGAAGATTCTAATAGGGACTGTAAGTGGTAAGTCCAGAACAGGTTTATGAATCTTTTGCAAATATATTAATTTGAAGAATACAATACACACCCATTTTCAGAACCAGATTTGATTTCTGCTCGCAGAAGATCACCAGCACTGAGGTGAGTATACCCAAAATTTTGGACAATATTTGCACATTGAGTACCCTTTCCACTGCCTGGGCCACCTATAACATTACCAGGCCAATAACCAAGGGTGATGTCAGAAAAAATCCACTGTAAATTCCAATGAACACATTAGACACACGGATAAATAAATGGCAATTGCTCCCTGCACCCTTCCAATTTCCCCATACACCCATCATATTTTAGAAACTCCTAAACTACCTTTCCCTCTCACTTCACCATTCACTTATTCTTCCCACATCCTTCAACCTTCATGTATAGTCACAGGAACACACATCCCGGATGTGTTTTATCTCTGTAGAACACATATTCTGGATGTGTTTTTATGTCTCCAGAACACATTCTGGACCTGTTTTTTATCACTTCATGATAGGTATTTTGGAGTTTGGAGTGTTAGATATGCACTCAACCCGGATCATTGCTTATTTGGGACAACCAATCCAGACAATGTTGACCCAGAATGGGTGTTCCAAAAAAGCATAGTTCCAAATTAGGTGTTCCAGATAAGCAATTTTTTAGAATGGGGTGTTCTGAATTGTGCGATCCGGAAAAACAAATATCTTGAACCGGTGTTCCAAAATTACATGATTCCAGAATGTAACCTCCAGAAAAAACGATGTTATATTATATGGTAAACAATAAAAACTAAGCCCTTAAATTAGTGATTTCCAGGAAATTTATAATGTCAGAATCAGTGTCAAACCATCAAAATTCCTAGGATGTAATTTATTTTAAAAGGAATTACTATATCATACATTCATTACAATAGTATGATATTTCTTCAAATTTTCCCTTTCCAAAGTGAAAGTTCAATAGTAAAACATAATATTGAATAGTCATCAAATCCATGATGCAGTAAATTTGAGATTTTTATACACAAACCATGCAATAATTTTTTTCCCTCTTTATATAAAATAATTTTGATGTTTCCTATTGTACCCTTTTTTATTTTTACTCTACAACAAATGCATATTAGTTGCAAATGTATAAAATAATTAAAAGTTAGATAGGAAATAAGTGTACAATCAACAAAAAAAAGTAAATAATATTGTTTTGAACTTTGAAAACACAAATAAATAGAAACAAAACTCTTATAAAAAAACAACAATTAAAAAATATAAACAGAGGGGGTACTTCCAAACTCATCAGTCTAATTTATTGTCTAAATGATAATAGTTTTCTGCAGAGAACCTCAATCAATTAACTGCAGATTTGGGTTTTGCAGAACAGTTAATTGTGTGAAAACTGAATCAACGAAGAAAGAATTTCAAACTCCCCTCCGCACAAAAATAAAGTATTGATGATGTGAAACAAACTCGCATGCATCAGAATTTGATTGAAAGCTAAATTAGAGGGAAGATGACTATGGAGATCTTTGACTTGCATGTAATCAATCAGTGCTTACCTAATACAAAAACAACTGTAGGATTTTTCACTAGGATGCTTCCATTTGCATCCTACAATGAATGATTAAAAAAATAAGTCAGAATATGCACTGCATTAAATAATGAAACGATCTCAGTAACCAGTAACGCAGCAGAAAATGGCTCACGACAAAAGGCTAAAAAATGTTTAAACATATATATATATATATATTAAAAAAAACAACTATATTTTTCTGAACAGAACACCAAATTGCTCAATCAAGAAAAAACATTTCCAAAGTTCAAACCTTCAAATTCTGAACGAAAGAAAAATAATCATGAAAAACATTGACTTACATCAGATTTAAAAAATAACCAGTGAAATGCAAAATGCTACAAGTGAATGCACAGGTTAAATAACCATGAATACCTTTTTCGCAGCTTCAACGGTTCCCATTCGTAGCAACTAAAATGTGTTTATCTGTAAAAAAAGAAAAGCCACAAGTAAATACAAAGATGAGTCAAACAGAAGTCATCATCGTCAAAGAATCAAGCACGTATCATACAGGTATATTCATTCAGTCTCATTACTCACTATCATATTCCAGAAAAAACATCATATAACCAAGAAGGCAAGAAGCCATTTCACTAACGCCAAAGCACATACTTAATAGAAAACTGTATATTTATTAAGAAATCATATTTGATCCATTAAATTGTGGATATACTTCTGCTAAAAAAATGACGAGTGATTTGATCTTATATTCTTATTATTCATTCACATATAGTATGTTATGTCCTCACTTCCTTACATAGTTGATCTATTCACCATAATTTCTGCTGATTCACATGTTATTCACTGTTCAACAGATCAAGACAGACACGCAATACTCATTCAATTCTCCATTAAAGCTTCGCTCAATAACATGCAAGGCATTGCCATTAACCAAAACCGACATCAATACTCAGATCCATAGAAGAAAGGCCAAAATAACAGTTCAAATACTAGCATGCACAACAATTTAACCAAACAACTAGCAGAACAATTACATCATCAACAGAAACCAAAAAACGTAAACACCACAAAACCGACAATAAGATCACGAATCGTCGAATCAATCTCATGCAGAGTTATAATTCAGTAAATTTTCATTTTCCATACGCGGCAACGACGCAATGCGTGGATTCCCTAACGGAATCGAACAATGCATGGTGAATCGCGAAGCGCGAAAAATCAAAAAAGAGAAACGGCGCGGATCGGAGATCGGCGCGTTCAGATCTCGGCGAGATTCGAAGAGATCGAGAGAAAGAGCGCGAAGTGACGGAGAAAATCGAAACGGAAAATTCAAAGGAGATTCAGAGTTAGGTCTTACCTTTCGCGAGGGATAATAAGAGAGAGAACGATGGCAGAATGTGGAGGGGAATTGTGATTGTTGCTCAATATTTATAGAGTCGGAAGAGAAATGAAGGTGTTTCTTTTTAATTATTTTTTTTGAAAAAAAAAAAAAAGAGAGAGAAGAGAATATGATGAAGAAGGTGAAGGTCGTTTTTATTAGTCGGTAGGGGCAAAATGGGAAAGATGTGTGGTGTTTGCGTGATTGTAACGGCTACAACGCACGCTTTTTTGGGGGAATGAATGACTTGGGAGCGTGATTTCCCTGCAAAGGCCGCAGGTGGCAAGATTCTTTGTATTACTATTAACAACCATTCAAGGGCCTGCTTGGATTTTCATTTCATCAAAACCAACTGCTTGGATTTTCATTTCATCAAAACCAACTTCGTCCATTGAGCTCAATCCACGTGTGTGTTTGTTTTATTGGTAGCACTCATTTCTTGTGTTATTGGTAGCACTCATTCCTAAGCAACTAAACGGAAAAGTATGTAAGAGGAAGCTTCTAAATAAACGTACTTTTGTCTCTCCTAAACTGAAAATCAAACACACTAGTAGAAACATTGTTCTTATTAGTTTTGGTATATTGAAAAGGTTTTCAAACATGTTACTTGTTAAAATTAAAGGGTTAAAAAAAATTTCTTCAAAACTCGCTCAAATATGATGGTTGATTTTTTAAATTTTAATTATGTAATTGTAATTTTTCTTCGAGTATTATAGTTGAGTGTGATTTTAGTTACTTAAAAATTGTAATTATATAATTTTTGACTTATTTAAGTTATATATATTATTAACTATTGTATATATAACTTAAATAATTTAAATTTAAAAAATTGTATAATGAAGATTGTACTATCCGTACCGCGAAGCCGAGCTCCGAGCTCGGCACCACAACGCAAGCCGACCTCGGACGCGCACCGCGTGGCATCAACTCAGCATTTAAGTGAATCACAACTGATTCTCGAGGATCTCGCCCCGGACGAGGTCCGTTAGCTAATCATGCTATATCTTATCTCAGGCCCAAGGCCCAAGGCAACCCTAAATCACACCAAGGTACGTGATTTACTTATACGAGACACATACTCATACAAACCCTAACTTTAGCATCGGAGTCTCTTTTGCAGGTACCACCCCCATCTTGGAGCACAAGCGTACCAGTGAAGGAGGCTCATCGATCTTACCTGGCGGATTAGCTCTACAGCAGATTTCCGGTAAGAACATTTGGCGCCCACCGTGGGGCCGGTCAAGACAGCTCTTATCGGCCACGCTTATGGTTTTCACCAGAAGCCATAGTAGACGCACAACAGACGACGCAAACCACTCAACCACCATGGATAACGAAGCAGCGTTGAGGAGACTAATCGATCAGGTCGAACAGATGCGGCAGCAACATGCCACCGACCTACAAAACATGCGTGCCAAGCACGACACTGACCTAGCGGCAATGCGTACCGCTAATGAGGCCGACCTGGCGGCGCTACGCGCCGAGAACGAGCGAATCCGCGCTCAACTCCCTCGACACCACTCCGATCATCCTCCTCATACGAGCAACCATAATGGAGAGGAGGAGCACTCAGTCTCCCAATCCCGGACTGCAACTAGGGTCCCAACCCCCAGACCTGCTTCACATCGGTCTCATGCGCCGACGCACAAGCCGACCCATGAAGTCAGCAAGGCTCCTACTCAGCTGCGGGGAATCAGGCAACCTTCCGCCGCCACCCTTTTGTGGATGGCATTATGGAGACACCACTCCCTCATGGGTGGAAGCCTCTCCACCTCGACCGCTACGATGGCACGACAGACCTAGACGAACACATCGACCTATAAATAACACAGGTAAATCTCTACACCAACAACGATGCTATCTTGTGTAGGGTGTTTCCGACCTCACTTAAGGGGGCCGCGCTCAACTGGTACACCCAACTGCCTGCCGAGTCCATCGACAGCTTCGGCACCCTAGTCCGGAGGTTCACTGCGCAATATGCGACGAGCCGACCTCACCATGTCACTTCAGCCGCCCTGGCCAGTCTCAGGCAAAACGACGACGAACCGCTCCGGACATTCATGGAACGGTTCGCTGCCACCTCGATCAAGATCAGGAGCCTGAATCCCGAGGTCGCCCTACATGCCATGCTCATGGCACTCAAGCCCGGGCCATTCGTCGACAGCCTATGTCGTGAGTCTCCCCGCGACATGGACGAGCTCCGCGCCCGCGCTGCAGGTTACATCCAGATGGAGGAACACTCCGCCTTCCGTGACCAGGTTCGCGGAAAAGGACCAGCGAAGCCAGAGCAGGGGCACAACGATAAGGTCAAAGTCAACAATGACAGCCAGTTCAAGAAGTCGGCTAGGGCAAACAGAGGGGGGAGGTATGACTTCTACACTCCCCTGAACGCACCCAGAGTCCACATCCTGGAAGAAGCCAGCAACAACAACCTACTCGCCCTTCCACCACCAGGTCACACTCCCAACAGCGCCGACAAGTCCAAGCACTGTCGGTACCACAGGAACCACGGTCACACCACGGAGGAGTGTCGCACGCTCCGGGACCGTATCAAAGAGCTCGTCCAGGCAGGTCACCTCGGCCAATACATCCAGCGACAGTAGGGTCACCGAGGAGGCTATGGCGGTCGGGGGCGTGGTAGAGGCTGAGGTTCGGGAGCTCGCACGGACCAACCCTCTGGCTCCCAACAAAATGCTGGCGGCGCAGTGCAGGCCGAGATAAGCCAGGAGACAGGGACAGCCCCCTTACGGGGAGTGATTAACACAATCGCAGGTGGTTTCGCTGGGGGCGGCGCCAGCAGCTCGGCCCGAAAGAGGCACCTACAGAATGTTAACTGCATCCACTCTACTACCTCGGCCTCGCACCAAAGCTCACCGCCAATCTCCTTCTCTGACGAGGACTACGCGGGCGTCAGCCCCAACCAGGATGATCCCATGGTTATCATGGTGGAAGTTGCCAACTGGGAGGTACAAAAGACACTCATTGACCAAGGAAGTTCGACTGACGTCCTGTACTGGCCGACGTTCCTCAAGATCTAAAATGGAGTAGTAGAAAGAAAGAATAGATCATTAGAAGAATTAGCATGAACAATGCTAAATGATTCAAAACTCCCTAAATACTTTTGGGCAGAAGCTGTTAACACTGCATGATATACTATGAATAGAGCTTTGATTAGACCTATTCTTAAGGAATCTCCTTATGAGTTATTTAGTGAAAGAAAACCTAATATTTCACATCTTCATATTTTTGGATACAAATGCTTTGTACTTAATAATGGAAAAGATAACTTAGGAAAATTTGATGCTAAATCTGATGAGGATATATTTCTTGGATACTCTTTAAATAGAAAATCATATAGAATATACAACAAAAGAACCATGACTATTGAGGAATCAATACATGTTGTATTTGATGAAACTAACCTTGTTTGTCCAAGAAAAGATATTATTGATGAAATTATAGAGAGCTTTCAAGATACTCATATTAATGAGCAAACTCAAAAGGACAAGAAAGATGAAGAAAATGAGGATTCAACAATCCAAGAAGATCAAACAAACATGAACCCTCAAAGAGAGTGGAAAGTCTAAAGAAATCATCCTTTTGAAAATATCATTAGAGATATATCAAAAGGGGTAACTACTAGACACTCTCTAAAAGAAGCATGAAATAATATGTCTTTTGTTTTTGAGATAGAAGTTAAAAACATTCGTGAAGCTTTAAATGATGAACATTGGATTAATGCTATGAAAGAAGAATTAAATCAATTTGAGAGAAATCAAGTATGGGAATTGGTTAATAGACCTATTAATCATCAAATTATAGGAACAAAATGGATTTTTAGAAACAAACTTGATGAACATGGTATAGTCATAAGAAATAAAGAAACCGGGACGGCTTGTGACACCAATAGAATGGAAACCTCGGCAAACCGCCGAAGTAGAAGACCTCGTCTTCCAAAGGGTCAACACCCACAAGGGCGACCCGGAAAAACTCCTGCTTGAAATTTTTGTACGATTGGGAGTAGGGAGTAAACAAGCCCCCATCCCTACTCCCGCTCAGGGACAAAATGCCATAAGGCGGAACGCCCATCTTCAACTGATAAAAATGAAGA